GCCAGTTTTGTTCAATGTCTTCATTAACAACCTGGAAGATGGCAGAGTGCACCCTCAGCAAGTCTGCAGGGCTGCATTGGTAGGAGTGTTGCCAGCAGATCAAGGAAAGTGATTATTCCCCTCTATTCTGTACTGGTGAGGCCACATCTGGAGTGCTGTGTTCAGTTTTGGGCCCCCCACCACAGAAAGGATATAGACAAACCAGAGAGTCCAGTGGAGGGCAACAAAATGGTAGGGGGCTGGGGGACATGACTTATGAGGAAAGACCAAAGGGAACCTGGGCTGATTTAATCTAGAGAAGAGGAGACTAAGGGGATTTAATAGCAGCCTTCAACTACCTGAAGAGTGGTACCAAAGAGGATGGAGCTAAATTGTTCTCAGTGGTGGCAGATGATGGAACAAGGAGCAAGTCTCAAGCTGTAGCAAGGGAAGTTTAGGTTAGATATTAGGAAGAATTTTCTCACTAGGAGGATTACCCAGAGAGGTGGTGGAAGCTCCATCCTTGGAGGTTTTCAAACCCTGACTAGACCAAGTTTTGGCTGTAATGATCCTGCTTTGAGCAGAGGGTTGGACTAGGTGACCTCCTGAAGTCCCTTCCAACCTTAATTTCTATGATTCGAATAAGGTGCCTATTTTGTTTCTATCATTGCAATTTAGTTACCTAAAATACAGAGGTGAAACAGCCACAGCCTGCTTCTACAGAATACTTGCTCATGGTCTGTTGATCAACTGGAGAACCACCTAAAGTAAAAAAAAAAAAAAAAAGTAGTGTTACATAAAGCCATATGACAAAACTCAGAAATTCTAAGTTTAAAAAGTGCCTGAACATTTGGAAATGCACAATCACTGTATACTAGATAAACTTTAAATTTTGTTTCACTACTATTTAAAAACCAAACTTCTTTTCATCCAATAGAAGTTTGCCCTTATCTCCAAGGAATTTTCCTAGTTTATGTTTACGTGTGGCTTAAATTAAACCCAATTAACAATTTGGGTTGAGGTAACCATATATTTCTGACATTAGCGTGCCTTGTACAATTTATTGAATGAGTTGCACCAGAGGTGCTCAACCTGCAGCCTGTGGAGCCTTAGAATTCAGTCTGCAGGTCTTCCCATGTGTCAGGAAAATTTGGCAGCAGGGAAGCAGTGGCCCTTAATACAGCCACATTCCATACCCTGCTAAATTCCCAAACCCCAAGCCCCACACAGCCTGTTGGAGTCAGACTGTACTCCCTCCCCTGCAGGGCCAGGCCATGCTGCTTCAGTCCCCCACAACCACCCAGCCAGGTTGGAGCCAGGCCACATCCCCTTCTCCCTCCATGTGGGGCTGGGCCATGCCTCCTACCCCTACCCCTCTGTGGGGTTAAGCCATACCCCTTTCCCCCTCAATGGGGCCAGGCTACCCCCTGTCACCCTCTGCATGGGTGAATGGTGCCCAACATACCTCCCCAGGCACTGGATGACAAGCATTGGCTGGATCTAGCACATGGGCAGATGGGGCACTGTCCATCTGGCCTGGGGAGGTGGAGAGTTACACTCTTGAGCAAAAGCCAATATTTGCAGATCGGTTGGAATGAAGAAGGTTCTCTCAAGGCCCATCTACCAGAGACGTCTATGGCACAGCTGACTAATCAGCTCTGCAGTAGAACATCACCATCTACATGTGTAGAGCCATTAGGATGGAGTAAACTAATCAACCCCACTGTAGGATAATACTGCCATACAAGTACTATCCTACCATGGAGTTATTTACGCTGCCACAATGCAGGGGTAGATGCACCTTGGTCATCTGATTTCAAGTCTTTTAATGGAATGGTGCCCAGTATTTAAAATCTGTGCCACATATGCAGGAAGCAGGGTGTCTTAGCCTACTGACAGATGTTTATTTAAAAGCACAATGGGATCTGATCCATAATCCCAACTATCATGCCTCCTGCCATACCATATGTGTGCAGCACAATGTGCAATTTTGGGATTAGATCCCAACCATGCCCTACTTGCCAGTGCAGGGAGAAACCATGTTAGGGTCAGGACTGCACTGGGATCATGATCCTAGGCTTCCCCTGCACTGGCAAGTTGGAAGTCAGATAGCAGCCAATCAGCTGATGGTTAGTTGGCTCTTGGATGGCACTGGGGCTTTAACTAGTCAAGGTGTAGTTCCCAGATCCAGATGATGATCAGCTAATTAGCTGGGAATCATACCTGAGCCAGGTAGAGACCTTGGTGCAGTCCTCACTCTGCCACATTTGATTTAAGGTGCAATGAAAACTAACCACAAACATATTACACACTTATGCAATATTTTTGTGGCACCATTAATTGCCTGAACATGTGGATGGGTAACTATTCAAGACATGATTAAGAAGACGGTCTTAGATGTAAAGTCTTTCAGGGGCTTTTGAAGGCACTTCCTAAATTTCTGAAGGAGTCTGCAAATAATAACAACAATAATAATAATAATAAAAAAGGTCAAAAACCACTGTCTTAGATGTTAGCTGGTGTCATAGAAAAAAAGCACTGAAGTAATCTGATGTATGCAGTGCATGCTGCGGATGCCTAATGCTCATCTGAGTACATAACTAGTCTTGAGGGTTTTCAGGTCATACAGAAGATAAAAGGCACATGGGATGGAAGGATGTTTTATGGATCAAAGTGTCATTATGTAGGCATGCTGAAATTGTTTGGAATAGCTTAACACTGTATTTCCCTATATTTAGACATTTTTGAACTGTAATCTTTAAACTAAGGTTGCCTGCTCTGAATTTGAATCTAGCGAAACAAAAATAACCTCTCTCTTTTAGGACACTGATACAGTATTACCTTAGATATGCTTAACCTCTTTGTTTCTCTCTCTCTTCAAGGAAATGGTCTGCAATCAGTTGAAGTATCAACATGATTTCTAGGTCAGGAAGAACTTACAAGGTGCAACAAGATCTGGGTATTAACAAAGCTTGTGCATGGAACAACAAAAATCAAGGTCCTCTGGTTTTGAAGTTAAGACTTACAAGTTCCTTTTCTAGAGGCCTATGAGTCCACTGTATCTTAGGTATGCACTAAGGCAGAAACCTGCATGTGAACACTTGTTATCTATACTGATTTTCTCTGTTTGAAAGCATGCATACAAAATTAAATTCCAGGATCAAAAGAAATAAGCCACTTTACAAATTCCACAAAGTTGGCCAGTGCTAGGTTTCTATACCCTATTTTGAAGGAACTCCCTCCCCCACCATATAAATACCTAAGCTAGCATAAAACGGCCATTCTAGATACGTGATCGGCAATCTTTTCACGTTGAAGGTTGCAATGATCGCAGCTCAGGGTCATTCCAGGTGACAGGCTGTAGATTGCTAACCCCTGTTCTAGCGGAAATAATGTTCTTGTTAAAGGAACTGAGTTTCTAGGCCTTTTTTTTTTTTTTTTTGAAAACTAGACCAAAAGACTGTTAGGAAAAAACAAAACCAAACAATGTCTTCTGAAAGCTCTTCTAAAATCATGGATCCTAGAAATTGCTTTGCTGATTCACATGCTATTTTGCCAAAAGATCCCCCCCTCTGGCTACAGGAGAAAGCAAAACTTCTAAGTAGGCGGAATTTTTCCTGAGGAATAAGGGGAAAAGTAAACAGTTTGGGTATAAGCTTCTAGTTTTCGTTGTCTGAAAAACATGATTTGGTGGAAGTGATGACTGTAGAGCAAGGGTGGGAAAAATGTGGCCTGCCAGGCCATTCTATCTGGCCTGTGGGACCCCTAAAAAATTTAGAGAATTAATATATCTGCCCCAGCTGCCTGTCATGCAGCCCTCAATGGCTTGCCAAAACTCAGTCAGCGGCCCTCCACTAGAAATAATTGCCTGCCCCTGCTGTAGAGAGTCTTCAATCTTTTCTTCTTTTCCACCTAGTGGGTGGCAATATATACCAGCTCAAATGATCAACAAGAACACATCCACAGTACTGACTTGTTTGCCCACCTGGCTGTTTTCACTGAAAATGGTTTCCTCATTAGTCAAAGCATTTCATATTACCTATTTCTGTAATATATAAAACCTTGAGTGAAAACTCTTCTTTTCCCAATAAAACCCACTCGAGCAACATCTGACTTTTTCTAGCACCCAATGGTCACAACCACAGTATGGCTGCATGCAGATGAGTGTGGTTGTGCAGTATGTGGCACCACAGAACCCTCCTGTAGAGCAACACACTGTGCATTTAGGCATTCCCCATGCTGCTACTTTGCAACACGCGGGGGCAGGGGGAGATCCTGGGGTTAAAAAAAAAAAAAATTGTGCAGACAAAAAGTAGGGTGACATGTAGCAGCAGTCTGGCCAGCGGAGCCATGCTCCAGCTGCTGTCCAGGTTTCTAGCTGCAGGAGTGCTGCAGCTGTAGCTTCCCTGGCCCCTAGGACCCCATGTAAGGCTACTGGCCCTAGTCTCCTCTACCCCACCTGGGATAAACTGCCACATGCCAGAGCTTGTGTGGCACAGGTAGCAGCAGCACTGCTACTTGTCCCTGGGGGAATCAAACATCCACGCTCATCTGGATATGGCCTACAAAAGGAACTGGGAATAACTCAGCAAGGGTTAAATCTGACTTGGTCTTTTAATTTGGCACTTTATTGGAATCTGATCAGAATTCTAAAAAAGCAAAGCAGACTTTCAGAATATTCTTCCTCCCCACCCCCCAAATGCTATGCAAGTGAACCAAAGTGATATTTATAGTCCTTCTATAAAACAACTAAGATGAAATAAAATTGGTTTTTAGCAAAGAACATTGAATCAAGTTCAAGAGCCAAGTCTTTTTTTGGGGTGTGGCTTTTAGAGATTCTAGGACCAAAGTATTAGTACTATGACATAGGAGTCAAAGCAAAACCAGCCAGTCTGTCTCATTAACTTGTCAGACTCTAGACCAATGCATTTCTTCCATGTTCTAAAAGAAGATGGCCTTTTTTGACCCAGGCATCCAGATCAGAGATCATTGGGGTCATAAAAGAAAAAATAACACCATTTAAGTCACACCAATTACTTCCTTTTTAGTAAGTGCCTGAAACATGGTAAGGCCAGACATTATTTGTACCTAAATATTTAGCAAGACAGGACATGGATACGGAAGCTCATTAGTTCACAACAGAGGAACAATAATTGTTGTCATTTTTGCTGTTCTTGGGAATACGCTGTACTTGGCACTCTTAATTTGTCATTTAAGCATAAGTTTCAGATGTTCTTTAGGAAGACGATTCTTAATTACATTCACTTGGATTTCCATTCAGTGGTAGCTGTGAACACACAGAGAAACAGCCTAGCTGAACTACTTCTGGCTTCAAAGCCTTTTTTTATTTTGAAGTTGAACATTTGTGGGCAGGATATTAGATTCTAAAGTGTGTGCAAGACATTGAGGATTTTTTCACAGGCTCAGTTTGAGAAGCTGCTACCCAATACTACATTTTCCAAGTCAGCCAATATTGGTTGCTAATCCAGTATGTAAAGGTCACCTTTGAATCTCTAGTGTAGAGTGAACTAGGTGGAATCCAAATTTTTTTTAGTTTTGTTAACAGAAAAGAACTTTATCATCCCTATGCATTGCAAAGAACAGAGATACCAAACATTTCCTGCTACTCCACATTAGACCAGGTATTCAATAACAGGCTTAAAATTAAACCTTTAACAATTAATCAAAATACCACAAAGAGTTGATATATCAAAGAAAAGAAATACAGTTTAATACCTAAAGCAGGGGAATAAAATTTAGTCCCATTCTAGTCCCAACTCTGCCAAACATTTAGTAAGCATCTACAAACCTAGGAATACAGGAAGGCCACTATACTCTTCCTGTTTTGACTATTAAGTGTTGATATATCATTTTTTCTTTTAAAGAAAGAAGTTAGCTATCCATGCTAATCATCTGCTGTATTTATTTGAAGTGATGACGGTCATAACTGAAGGGAAAAAAACTTCTTGGTTTGTGTGAGCAGACTCTGGAATAGATGCCCAGCGAGGGTGGTGCAGGCACCAACCCCGGAGATCTTCCAAAGGAGACTGGACGCACATCATGCTGGGGTCATCTGACCCCACAGCCTTTCCTGTCTAGAGCAGGGGGCCTGAGCCCGATGATCTCCCGAGGTCCCTTCCAGCCGTAAACTTCTGTGCATCTGTGTAATTAGAACATGGGCCCTTTGTGGATGTGTGGCAGTGAGGTGGGCAAGGGGAGGGGAAGAAGGTCTATCTGGAGTATATACACATACTGAGTAGTACTGAGCTATGGGATAACCATGGAGGGCAGGGCCACCCTAAATCGTATGTGCCAGACAGAGAGGGCACAACTGAGGGATTCTGGGTGAACTGTATGCAATGCCATGGGGCCCAGCTTGATGAACTATGTGATAAATTATAAGCAGTTTGGGCTTTGGACTAATACCATGCATAGTTAATACTCGATATAAGTAGTGTTGGTCAAAACTGTGTTTGTGAAACTTGTGCCAAAACCTGTAGCAGTTTCAAAACAAGGTTACATGCATCAATTCTGGATAAGCCAAGTGCATAGGTGCTATATGAAAACAGTTATAGCTCTGTTTAAATTTCAAGGTTATTGTTTTCAAAGTTGTTCCTCACTTCCACAAGCTCTGGGACAGCAGGGTCTGACAGTAAGGAGAAGGGGCTACCAAAGAAAAAGTTGGGTGCAAGCACAGAGTAAAAGAGCTACCTGATCCCCCATATTTATTCTCTCTGTTGTAGCAGGGAAAGGGACAAATTCAAGGCAAACCTCTGATAATTGGACCCTATACATGGAAAATCATTACAAATTTATACATTTTCCATATATAGAACCTAATTATTGGGGGGGTCATCTTATAAGTCAGTCATCTATTTGCTTAATACCATATTTGAATAAATACTTTATTAAGCAAATGGCAGTTTTCTTCTTGGAGGAGCTTCCCTACTCCCAAGCTATATGAAGTGGTTCTCTGACAACTGAATTGTATATCATGTTTCATGAATCAGAAAGGGTGTATGTATGAGGGAAAGGAGAGAATCACTTTCACATGTGCAAAATGAGAATAGTATTTTCCGACCTCAAGGGTACTGTAGAGGTAAACCAATTCTATTAGTAATTTAACAGTTCAAAATGTCGTTATTTATTAAACAAGACTTGGAAAGAGACAAATTTTCAAAAACAGATAATTCTGCCCCCAAGTTAATAGCCCATTTTGAGTCAGACTACGAATGAAAAGATTAACTCAGTTGGAACAGACAAAAAGATTCAGGTAAGTTAGGTAAATTCAAAGACCTTACCTTAAAATACCGTAACTCTCTCATGTTGTAAGCACTTCATTACCTTCAAAATATAATTTCTTGTATTTTTGAATGGAAGCATATTCTTTTGATCTTACTCTGCATCACAAATTTCAAGATGGCTGTTCCCCATTTTAAACTTTAGATTCAGGAACAATCTTAGTTGCTGGTTCTTTCTGAATTAAATTAAATGTAAGAACACCTTACACTATACTAGATTTTTCCTATAAATACAGAAGGCCCAGGCCTACAGTACGAGGCACCCCATGCCTTTTTGGAGATGACTCTTCTTCCTCATCTTCCAAGAATTACTGGCAAAGATTTACCCAATTGTCCTTGTGGTGAACAGAAGCCCACAAGTTAGGAGTTGATGCAAACTGGCAGATTTTCTTTTCCAGTTCCAGATGAGTCAGATGTATCATCTATTTGTTAAGGGGTGGGAAGATACTGCCAAAATAATCTCTTCTTCAGAGTGCCAAATGAATGTACCTGTTTACAGATAGAACAGAATAATGCTGTAATGTTGGTCTGTAGAGCATTACTGCAATTTCTTCTTGGACCGTCAATATTTCTCACAAATATTCAACAGATAAAACTCTAAAGATACACTCAAGATATACTAATAGAACCATCCGTATCTGACTGTATAATTCCTGTCCTGGCATTAAACTGGTAACAAAAGGAAGGAGAAGTGTTATGAAAATGCTGGTTCTCCCACTGGTAGCTTCTCACCTGTCTTCTGGCAATTGACTAAGTCTCCAAACTCTATCAACACTTAAAGATGTGCTCACTTTTAGATACAAGAGTAGTCCAGCTGGAATATTTACACATGAGTCAAAGCATTTGCAAGAGCCTACACTATCAATTGACACAGGAGGAAACAAACCAAAAAACTAGAGATCACTAAAAACACTGTAAGATATTAAAAAGTAATTTCCTAGAAGCAGAAAACCTACACACTTTTGAATAAATTAAACAACACATAAATGAAAAAGAAAAGCTAATAGGGCATATGGCACATTAACAAGTTAAAATTTCTGCTTTCATTTTTTGTAGTTTCACGAAAGTCGGTTATTGTTGGAAGTTATTTTGTGCAATGACTTAATTTCCATTCTGAAGCTCCAATACTGGTTAAGATGTCTGGTGCAATGTGAATATTAGACTGCATATAGGTAGTCTCATTTATCAGGAGCTGGTGATCAGACCTGCAGAAACTGACAAAATGATCTTGGATATTCCACAGGGTTCTAGAGACATGGGGAGAGCTATTTTCCAGAACACATTATTTTCAGAGTGCTGTTCTAGAGTCCTTAAGCAAGATCATAGAAAATTAGGGTTAGAATGGACATCAGGAAGAGGCTCAGGAAACCATGTGGCATGTCAGAAGAAGCAAATTTTGAGCTGTCAGCCTGTAGATTATCCAAAGAGTTCTTTGCTGTAGAAAGTGCCGGTGCTTCTTCTTGTTCAGATACGTTATTTGACCCCAGCAGTCTTTCCCACCCAGAGCAGGGGGGCTGGACCCAATGATCTCATGAGGTCCCTTCAAGCTCTAAACTTCTGTGAATCTGTGTGAATCTTAGTCCAACCCCCTGCTCAAAGCAGGACCATCCCCAACTAGATCATCCTAGCTAAGGCTTTGTCTAGCTGGGTCTCAAAAACTCTTAAGTATGAAGATTTCACGTCCTCTCTGGGTAGCTCGTTTCTGTGCTTTACTACCTTTCTAGTGAATTTCCACCCCCCCCCACAATGTGTAACCTAAACTTCCCTTGCTGCAACTTGAGACTACTGCTTCTTGTTCTGTCATCTGCCGCCACTGAGAACAGGTTAGCTTAATCCTCTTTGGAACCACCCTTCAGGTAGCTGAAGGCTACTATTAAATCCCCCCTCAGTCTCCTTTTCTCCAGACTAAACGAGCCCAGCTCCCTCAGCCTCTCCTCATAAGTCATGTCCCCCAGCCCCCTCACCATTTTTGCTGTCCTCCGCTGGACTCTCTCCAATATGTCCACATCCTTTCTGTAGTGGGGGGCTGATGCTAGACAGTACTCCAGATGTGGCCTCACCTGTACCAAACAGAGGGGAATAAACACTTCCCCTGATCTATTGGCAATGCTCCTACAAATGTAACCCAGTATGCTGTTAGCCTTCTTTGCAATATGGGCACATGTCAGCTCATATTCAGCTTACTGTCTACCCCCGGTACTTTTTTGCAGAGCTGCTGCTTAGCCAGTCAGTCCCAATCTTGTAGCAGTCAGAGGGATTGTTCCATTCTAAGTGCAGGACTTTGCACTTGTCCTTACTGAACATCGTGAGACTTCTTTTGGTCCAATCCTCCAATTTGTTAAAGTCTCTCTGAGTCCTAACTCTACCCTCCAACATATCTACTACTCTCCCCAGCTTGGTGTCATCTGCAGACTTGTTGAGGGTGCACTCCATACTGTCTTCCAGATCATCGATACTAAGCAGTTCATTGCACAGCAAGATAAAATACACAAAAATAAAC